CTCCGAATCTCCCCACAGTATTTATTTGCACAAGAAGGTCCTTTGAGAAATAAAAGGTAACCCCACCACTCTCAGCCAGACTGAAGGCCTATGTAAAGTTTAAAATTTCATCCTCCTGCATTAGGAAGAGCCTAGGGGGGATCTCTCTTGGAAAGCAGCACGATTTGTGTGCATTAGAGTGAGAGCTTATGGTATTTCTTTATTTAATTCACTAGTAAGAAAGCTGTGTCAGCAAGAACACTGCTAGCTTGGCTCATAAGAGCTAGGACAGGGTGACGGGAGACTGTGGCTGCTCAGCCGGAGGCATGTGCTGTCTTCCCTTCGCTGGTTCTCCATTTGGAGGTTTTCTTGACTGAGCTTTATGATCAGCTTCTATACCATGAAGATCAGAGAGGCTTGTACCCCACTGTATTGAGGGCTCATGTTCCCCTTTATACTTACTGTGTTTCTTTATATTTTATTTTGCCTTATTTTTATTGATACAGTTTGTTAGACTTTTCTCTGCTTAGGTGTCTAAAATAAGCAGCTCATGGATTTATTAGTTTCCTGTTATCGGGGATTTAATGTTTTAGTGCCGGTTCGCATTTCTATGATTCTCCAATAAAGTTAAGATTAATTTATGTGAATAAAAAGCGAACACTGCAAGGCAGTGATCCGAGTCTGCCATGAGATGAATGATACAGAGATTTTCTTCAAATAGTTGCCAGGGAAACGGTAGTAAAAACAGAACCTTGGAGGGAAAGGAGTGGTCAGGTGTAGCTGAAGAAAACTTGGAGCTGACATAAGCTTACAATGAAAGAGCCACCTCATGCTTATGCAGTTGGTCAAATTTAAAAACAAAACATTAACAGCAAGACATGGATAGAGGAGGGGCCCAGGGGGCTACCCATCACTGGTGACCTACTATTCCTGTCCATACATCAGGGAGAGAAGGGGTGATTGCTTTCAGTTGTTTACCCACTGGCAATAGTCTCAATCCAGTGCTCAGACAGCCCAGATTCATCTATAAATTTGGTAGCACTACAATCAGAAGCTCAGAAAGATTACTCATGATTCTAAAACTCACATGACAAAAAAAATTCTAGAATACCTAAGATAGTATAATTTTGAAAAAGAGCTACAAGGTGGTAGTACTTTTTAAACTAGGAACCTCTGTTCCCTCCACCAAAACTTGGTAGAAATTAGAAGCAGTAATTTCCAGGAGAGAATAAATGGACAGAATGAGTCCAGGAGTCCGTGTGTGGAGAGACATGCACCTGTTAAGGGAAGTGTAGCCTGGGCTATGTGTGTGTGGTATGTCGGGTGACAGGTAGCCTGTGCTGTGTACACAGGTAGACACTGACCGAAAAACAAAACGCAAAGCAAGAGATGGTTCAGTGGGTGCAAGGGACTTGCCACAGAATACTGGCAACCCGAGCTTGATCTCTGAGCTCACGGTAGAGGAGAGAACTGCTTCTGGAAAGTTGTGTCCAAAACTGCACACATGCATCGTGGTATAGACATATCCACAAGTACATACACAACACACACACACACACACACACACACACACATAATTTTAAAAAAATTAAAAAGGGAGGGAGGAACAACTCTCCCAACCTCAAATCTTTCATGTTTTGCTTTTTTTGGAAATATGATAGAAAGATAAGAAAGCATTCCAGTTGTTCATAAAACTTACAGGAATAGCAAATTTGGGCATAAGGACCAGCTTTATATAGCAAGTTTGTGTAAGTGCATGAATAGGGGCATGTGTGTGTATGTGCGTGTGTGTGTGTTTGTGTGTGTATGTGCGTGTGTGTGTGTTTGTGTGTGTATGTGCGTGTGTGTGTTTGTGTGTGTATGTGCGCGAGCAAATGTGGAGAGAGACGAGAAAGGAGAGGATGGTAGGTACGTAGGTAGATAGGTAGGTAGGTAGATAGATAGGTAGATAGATAGACAGAGTATGAGAATGAGAGAATGAACAAGAATTTGGTTTTGATTCAAGGTAGTATTTCAGCCTCCTGCTACTTGGAACTGTATGTATTCCTGACAAGTTTTTCTGTCCCTTTTAAAACTTGATTTTATAAATGTAAGAATTTATTTTCCTGTTTGATTTGTATGCTTTGTCTTCATTTTCAGCTAAGATAATTTTGAGTTATGATAGTAGGAGTTCAGGTACCCACTGCTGCGTAGGAAAACATCCTCAAGCTGCCAAGATGGCTATGAGTGTCCCTTCGCTCATAGTCCTCTGGGTCAGCAGCCCAGCCCTGGGGACGGAGCTGGAGTGGTTTTCCCCATCCTCAGTCAGCTGGGCAACTGCAGTTACAGCTGCTCCACTGTCAGATAGATGATCTGGCCAGCCTTTCTCAAATGTCCTGGTTGGTTCTGCCTGTGGGCCTGAGCAGTGTCTGCCTTATGTGGACGTCATCGTGTGTTATCTGGGTCCCAGAAACATTAAAAAACAAGTTAGCCAGAGTACGCAAATACCTTTCCAAGTCTTGTCTTTGGCACAGCTGCTAATAATACAGTAACTCAGTGGTGGATCAATGTTATAGACCATGTGATCTTCAGCCATTGTTCAAGATATTCCAAGTTTGACATCTATTTGTCTCCAGGCTGATCTGAGTCAACAGTGTTATATTTCTATTATGGAATACTTTCTTAGATTCATTAAATGGCAAAAAATCCCTTGCAATTTCTGCTCACTCATATACATATATAAAATTTTTAAGTTCATTTCAGTCTCTTTAAATTGTTTGTTTGTTACTACATAAAAAAGCTTGCTTTACCTTAAGCTTACCCTTTAATTTCTCAATATAAAGGCAAGATTCTAAATTTATAAATTGAGAAACATGGTTAACTTTATGTAGCAGATTGAAAGAACCTTGTTAGATATAGCGAGTCGAATCCATTTTGTCCCAAGCATGACTTGGCATTGTGTCACTAAATTATTGAATTATACATAGTTAGACATTTTGGGTAGGATTGGTAAGATATTGAGCTTCCCCCTAGAAGTCTTTTTAGGGAAATGATACTTTCTCATTGTCCTTTCACTAGCATGCCTAGCAGGGTATTATTTCAGTTTTTTTCACTTGGTTGTTAGAGGAATTTTAGTTTTTCCACTCGTCATACAACTATATGCTCAGAAACAGGAAGAAAATGGATAATGTCAGATAACTTGTAATTAACACCAATATGTTTACCTCTCCCTTAGATTATTTAAATAATGAGGGTAGTTTTAAAAAGCAATAATTTGGGGGACTAGGAAGTTGGCTAAGCTATTAAGAGCTCTGGCTGCATTTTTAAAGGACCAGAGTTTGGTTCCCTAGCACCCACATGGGCCGGTTCAACTGCCATTTTGTACAGCACCATGGAGGGCTGTGAATCACAGGTCATCTGAAAGAGCAGCCGCGCCTTTAGCTGGTTGCTGAGCCATCTCTCCAGCCTGAGAATATAATTTATTTGTAACAATACACAGCTGACGTTTGTTGAATATTTAACGTCAGGCCCTGTTTTAAGTATCTTAAATGCTTTGTCTTACTGATCAGTGATGGATACTGTGAAGTTAATGTGTTTTGCTCCATAGAAATAGAGATTGAAAAAATGAATAGTTTGCTTAAGAATATATACTAATAAATGGGAGACCTGGAAATTGAACCTAGGCAGCCTAACGCTATTGCTTCTGTCTATATGTTAACTAGAGCTAGATAATTTTTCATAATTCCTAAATCCACAGATCTGTTTAAACAAAAATGTTAGGCAGTTTTTTGAGTTGTAAGTAACATAAATTAAAAATTTAAATGTAATGTGTGCTGCTTCAATTTTGATACATATCTGCACACTCTGTTGAACCATTGTTACAATTAAGATATTACACCTACCATTAATCCAAATGTCTTCCTTTTCCTTATTCCTTAAGATTTTCAAAAAGGTGTTATGTAAACCTTGGAAACAGCAAAGTACAGGTTGATCGTTCATAAAGTAGGAAATGATCTCTAATCTGAAATGTTGAGTACCCATATGACAATAAATGGAAAATTCTGCACTTACTTCATAGGACAGGATTCAGTCAAAACGTAGGCCCACACAAGTTGTACAAAATTGCCTTCAAGCTATATTACAAGGCATAGATGTAATTTAAACCAATGTTGTCTGTAGACTCATATCTCATTCCAAAAATATCTTTATGTGACAATGTCTGAAATCTAAAACACTTTAATCCCAAGAATGTCAGAAAAGTGTTACGCAGACTGTGCTATAAAACTATTTTGCTGGTTAAATAGGTATGTCTAGAGTTCATTGTAATAAATTCACATAAATCTTTTCGAAAAAGTATATTTTATCATATGAGATATTAGAAACTACAAATGTCTAAACCTTAATGTCTGCCTGAACTTTAACTCTAAAAAGGAATAAAATGAGCTATATTTAATTGCTTAAATATGTATTTTCATCTTGCAGAATCTCTGTAATGAAATTGTGCCTTTAATGAAGTAACAAACATGCTGTATATATGCTCTTGCCAGAGGCCTAGCATTGCATTAGTACATATAACCTTGTAGTAGTTATTCTCAGTTTGTATTATTTGTTGTTATTAATGATATTATTGGTATAATTGTTTGAGCATTATTATTATTGTTGAATATTGACTTCAAAGTTAGATCTGTGATGTACACATGGATACACAGTGGATAATGTAGCCAGATTTGAAACCTGTTCTTACTTCAAAATCCATTCTCTCTTCACCATGCCTTATTGTTTACTGTAAAGCTGTATGTTTGATATACAAGTTGAATTAGCATGATTAAATTTTGATGATAGTGTATAGATGAATCAGATTATTTCATTGTCAGTTTTGTTTTTTCTCATTATAAACATAATTATTTTATATTTTCCTTTTAAAATTATGTATATAACTATTATATATAATAAGCACACTAATTACCTCATAAGTAACCATGTAATACAGGAATGGGTATCAGATATTCTAATTTCCTTTCTATTCATGTTTTCTCTTTCAGGGTTACATTTTGCCATCTGCCTTTCCAGAGTAAGTGGCTCTATGTGGGCACTGAACGAGGTAACATACATATTGTCAACGTGGAGTCCTTCACACTCTCAGGCTATGTCATTATGTGGAATAAAGCCATTGAACTGTAAGTCTGAGCCGATATTCCATATCTGAAAGTATCAAGTAGTATCTTATAGCTTGATGTTGTGAATCCATGTGGGATGGATATGTCAGGAATTCGTGATATTAGATATAAATCTTTTGGTTTTTTAATAAATATTATCCTATTGTCAGGACAGTTGTTAAATTTAAGCCTTTTATATTCATATATATTTTTAAATGCATAATATAAGTTTTCATCTGTATATAAACTTTACATTTAATAGTTTCAATGCTCGTTATCCCTGTTAGTTTGAAAACATTCATTTTTCTATTATCTTCTAATTCAGTTTTTTTCTTTAGCCTTCTAATTATGTTTCTTTTATATCTTCTAATAATTATGCAATGTAAGTGTTTATTAAAATTAGTGTATCCCCACAATTAACAAAAATCGGATTGAACTGTGGTGCCAAGAATCTCTAATGCCAGTTTTCACTTACTAAAGGTTTTGTGCCATCTGTTTTTGTACGTTTTCACTTACAGTTTTTAAATATGAGAACAAAGGTCTAAAGCTGTTTGCAAAACTCTTTTCAAACACATTCTACAGTTTTAATCTTTTGAAACAGAAGAACTTTCTGTGATAGGGACATTCTTGCCTTTCTTGGAAGTGTGGGTTTCCCGTTTGTTCTTTGCGTTGATCATGACATCTAATGGGTAAGGTGCTCTAAGTCCTGGCAGTTCTGAAGTAGTGCAGTGTCCCAGGCTCCAGCATTCATGAACAGGGACATGCTTTTCCCTAGTGCTTGGACATATCCAGAAATATTTTACCTCTGTTCTCTCTCTCTGGTATAAGTATAGGTACCAATCATTTCTGGGTTTTCAGATTTTACCTCTATTCTCTCGCTCTGGTATAGGTGTAGGTACCAATCATTTCTGGGTTTTCAGAAAAACTAAAACAGATTTTTTTTCTGCTTCTGGTATGAGCTGTAGAATTGTTTGGGATATTCCAACTGACACCTAGCACTGAAGCTACATTGTTTTGAAATATTAATTTCACAATGAAAGGAAAATTTCTTTTTTTTTAAAGTTGAAAGGAAAATTTCTATGCCAAATTAAATGTTTGACTAAATTGAAGATCTCTCCTATATAGAAAATGCAATTATAAACTTTAACTTAGAATCAATGAATTTTACCATTTTTTTCTTTGATTGACAATGTAAATATTTTCTTCATAATTAGTCTTTTTTATTGTGATGAATACTAAAACTTTTATTTGAGTAAAAAGCCTTATTTTTTTTTTCAGGTCGTCTAAATCTCACCCCGGCCCTGTTGTCCATATAAGTGATAATCCCATGGATGAGGGGAAGGTAAAATTTTTTCCTAAATCAACATTTGTTAATTAATCCATGCTGTTTTTACTTTTAAATATGCAAACTGTCCTAGGACTGCACTGTTGCCAAAAAGTTGAGTTTGGACCAAGGTTTGTATATTGAATAATATAACTGCTTGTTATTCATTATGAAGAACAAGTGGAAGGATTAGAATGATTTCTAATTAAAAGGGTTAAAAATTTTAAAGCGTAAGTAGAACTTAATAAATATCAGGTATTCATTTGTATTCAACTGACTCAGAATATTTTCCCTGATTTTCTGATAATGTATACAGGTATTTTGGGGGGCTTAGGAGGGAGAGATCGTGATTCTTAATCTAGTTTACAGATTTATAGTGTTTATCATATGTTACATTATCATAGAATAGCTTCTATGGGTCAACTTCCTTAAGTTTTTTCTTCATAAAGAAGCCTAATTAATAATATAGAGACATTTTTGTTATGTTCTAAAAGTCTTGTTCAGTTTTATTATACTTATGCCGCCTGTATCTAGGTATTGTTTGCTTGGGTTAATCAATACATTTAACAATAATAAAAGTTCCTTTTCTGTGAATTTCTGTTTTCTTACACTAACCATCTTTCACGTAGTCCCGCTTCATAATGGCACTTTCCTGCCTGTATAATTCTAAAACGTTAACCTGAATGAGCACCAGAAAGTTTGTCAGAAATCAATGATGGAAAACTTTATCTTGTGAAGGGATTTGACTCAATGTTTTCTTCTCTCAGTGAGGAAGGGCAAACCTATAGATTATTTACCACTATTCTCAGCTTGCCACTGAAACACAAATGCATACCTGGACTATTTGGAGTTGGCTAGTGACCACGGGTTATATGCCTGAAAGGAAGCATCACATACAGCAAATGTACAGTATCCTGGTTATTGCTTTCTTTTTCTTTTACCAAAGATGTCTGTTTAAAAGCCAAGCCTCTGGCTGGAAAGCCCAGAGAATTAGCAAGGTTCCCTTGACATGGAGTTACTCCCTAAGTCATTCCAGCTTTTCTTCATAGTGTCTCTTCTCGTGAGGCCTGTCCCAGTTGACGGCAATCCACAATACTCTTCTTTCATTTCTTTTTCTCCATTGATTAAAAATTTTATACAGCATATTTTAATCATGTTAAAAACCCTCCCTACTCCTCTCCACCTCCCTCCCCAACAACTTCTTGCATTCGCTTTCTCTTTCATACCTTACACACACTCACACACAAAAAATAAAAATCAAAGCACACAAAAAATCAGTAAGACCCACAAATACCAAAACAAAGTGAAACAGAAAGCCCCTCCCCCACTCCACAAAATGGAGTTTGTTTTTGTGTTGTCAAACTGTTCCTGCACATGGAGACTGCCTTGACATGTGGTTGATATACCCAGTGGCACTCCATTGGAGAAAACTAATTTGTCATTCCCAGCAGGTATCAACTGCAAAAAGCTTCCTGGACTTAGTGTCCGGTTTGAACCTATGCACATCTTGTGAGTGCTGCCTCAGTCTCTGTGAGTCCCTGTGTGCCTCAGTTCCACTGGGTCTGGAAGACTGTGTTTCCTTGGAATCATGCACCACCCCTGACTCTCACAGTCTTTCCACCTCCTCTTCTGCATAGATTCCTGAGCCTTGAAGGGGAAGTGTCTAATGAAGACATCCCAGTTAGGACTGAGTCTAACCTTCCTAGAGGGTCATTCTCATCTTGGTGGTACCTTGTTTAAGTGTCGAGTGTGTCTGCACTGTCTGACAGGGTGACTGAGTTTTCCTTATGGTGTAGTCTGAATTTCCTTATTTTTCACAATATCCTCTCTAGAAGGCCGTGCTGAAGGCTCAGTCACTTTTCCCCAGTTATAGACTGCTCTTTGCTGCCTCCTTGCTTTGGCTTCTGTCAGTCTTGTTTGCAGGGCTATCTCACTACTACTGACTTCTCTAGAATGTAAGGTCCAAATTAAAAGTATATATAAATAATGTCTGGCCGGATAATTCTGACAGAAAATATATTCTCCTCTACATCCATAGTACTTCAGTCATGCAGATGTTACATTATGCATGTTTCCCTGCCGTGTTAGAAATGCATGCATATCACTGCTGCCATGAACCAAATAGAGCCTTGTTCATACTCAGTGCAACCACTTGTTTATGTATTTATGTTTGGTGGTGGACGTTGAATTTAGGGGCCTTGCACATGCTAAGCAAGTGCTCTACCAACACTCTAACTCCAGGCTTTTTACTTATTTATTTGTTTGTTTTTTATGCAGGATTTCACTGTGTAGCACAGATTGGCCTGGATCTTCCAGTCCTTTTGTCTCAAAGGCTTCCCAAGTGCTGCGATTAGAAGTGTTAACCACCATGCTTGGTTATAGAGGAGAAAAATTAGGACATTAGCAAGTGATTTGCAGATCTTTTACATCTTTCTAAGTTATGTAACATTCTAGTAGCAACAATTCTTTTTAGTGTATGTTAATTTCATATACATATGTGATGCTCTCTTGCATGTATGTTATGCGTCTTGATCACATTACTCTCTATTATTTCCCCCTCCTCTCTCTATACCTCATTTTCACCCTAAAAAGTCCCCATTCTGTTCTTACGGTTTTTTATTTTTATTAGTTTTTAAATTATCACTGGGTCTAATTGGGGTGGCTTTTCTGAATATGGCATTGACAACTTCCAAGTGTCTGTACCACTTATGGAAAATTATACCCCTCCCCCCCTTCAGCACCTTAACTGTCTGTAGTTCCTCAGCTAGGATGGAGATCTGGTTGTCCCTGTACCATGCCTGCTACAGTGTTGGCAGGATAGCTCTAGTTCAGGTGACCACAGGGGCTATGAGTTTATGAGTGCAATAGCCATGTCCTGCCCAGAAAACTGTCTCATAGCATTTTCCCTTCCCCTGCCTTTCTTATTCTTTGTGCTCCCTCTTCTGTGATGCTCACCAACTTAGGCTCTCTCTCTCTCTCTCTCTCTCTCTCTCTCTCTCTCTCTCCGTGTGTGTGTGTGTGTGTGTGTGTGTGTGTGTGTGTTTATGTGTATTTGTGAGTCTGTGGGGGGGGCATGGCAGTGGTCATGATATAGATGTCCCTTTTAGGACTAAACACTAAATAGTTATTCTCGGCACTTTGACCAGTTAGGGCCCCATACATTAACTGCCATCCACTGCCAAATGAAGCCTTCTAGTAGGAATAAATCCTGTGGAGATTTTCCGAGGACTTACATAACTTAGGCTCTTATTTTCCTTGACTTGCTTCTGTAGAGAAGATCTGAGAAGCTTGCAATCATTCAACCCTAACTTGTTGGGCATATTTCTGACTTAATTTGAATGTTGTGTCAGGCTGCAAGAAGCTAAAGAGTACTGTGACCTCCTTAGATTATTAAAAATGTGAACAGTCAAAGCAAATTCCTTAAAGGTACGAGTCTATGAAGTGGCACTTTCACACCAAGAGCTCTGTCTTTACCTATACCTTGAGCTGCTAATATAGTTTATCAGTTTGTAAATTTTTCCTTTTCTTATTTCTGAATGTCCTTCATCCTCTATGGGACATTGCCATATCATGTATCCAAGCTTTCTGGAGGAAAGGAAACCATGGCAAGGTCTTTTCAGGAGTATGTGTTTCACCTCTGATAGCTAATGCTCACCTTTCGTAGCTAATGTTCACCTATATAGCTAATGTTTAGCTCACTTTATTGTCTTTCAGTCTAGGACCCCAGCCCATGGAGGGTGCTGTCTACATTTAGAATGGTTTGTCCTACTTCAGTTAACATAATCACGATAACCTCTTATAGCCATACCTAAAGGCATATCTCCTTGGTGATTCTAGAGCCTAGCAAAATGACAGTCAGTATTAACAACTATCACACTGGGCAGGGGTATGGGGCCACAGATAGACAGTATACAATTTATGAGGCAAGAACATATATCAGCCTCTGTGACATATGTTAAAAGTATAATAGTGAACAAGATAGTTTTGGTCCTTACCCAGTGAGCCAGTTTTATAGTCTGCAGGAGAATTCAGATGAAAATGGTATAGTAAAAACTAACCTTCAGACCATCAAAGGATGGAGTACAGTGGAAGGCCATTGATATAACATGTGGTTGTTCAGGGAAGTCTTCCCCAGAGGCTACTGCTAAGAGCACATCTGAAGATAAGAGGGGCTAATCAGGGGATTCCATTTAAACAGCACCCTGCCCCCCCCCCCCCCCCAGATAGGAAGGCAGCATGGACCAAAGTTAAATGTGAGAATGCTTAGAGAAACAAATTCCAGAATCAGCAAATGGAGTGTGTTGGGCAGGAGAGGTGGGTGGGCCGATTTTGGAGAACTTAGTAGAAATCAGACAGTGATAAATCTGATAATTGTATAGTTGATTTTTTATTTTATCATGAATAGAATGGTGAGGCTGACAGATTTTAAATAGAAGCATACATATTTCTTTTTCAGCTTCGGATATTGTAGCCAGTCTTCCAATATGAAATGGGTCAGAAAGGAGATCTCTGTATTTTTCCAGGAGGGAGGTACTAGAGATGGGGGATATAAATGAGAAAGATGCAGAACATCATATTAAAGTTAGCTAATGGTTTTTCTTGTTGAAGGCAGGACTAGCATTCATGATGACTGCCAGGTCTGTGACAGATAGCTGATTCGTTGTGGTCATCACGGCACACAGTATGGAGAGCCATCAGGCTCCAGAGGGTGTACATAGTGTAGAAGATACATTCTGGCTTAATGTTAGGAAGCAGTATGGTTATCGGAACCTTCAGCTTTAATTTCATGAAAGAATATGAGATGATTTATTGAAATTAATCAGTAGGTACATTGAGTGAAATTCCTTGATGATATTTAGATCTTTGAAATTATAATATCTCAAACACATATAAATGCACAATTTTATTAGTAATTTTTAGAAATGTATCAGAATATAGGCTCATGACTTCAAGAAACTTGCTTTCTCTTTGCAGTATAAGTTGAATTTTGAGTCACTAATCATCAAAGACATGTAACTCTGCCCTGCCATGTTCTCATTTGTCATCTGTGTGATTAGCAACTCCCAGTGCAGGTGTTTGACTATATTAAAGTTTTATGTATGAAGGATATGAATAGTGATTAGCTTTATTGTCCAAAATAAATATTTTATATAGTAAACAAGTCACTTCTCAGTAAGGTGTTCTTTCCTTTCCCCAGCTTTTGATTGGCTTTGAGTCTGGAACAGTTGTCCTCTGGGACCTCAAGTCGAAGAAGGCTGACTACAGATACACGTATGACGAGGTAACAGCAATGCTATCCCGTATAGATCTTCACTTTGCTATAGCTCCCAACAGCTTCTCAAGGAATTGGATTTTCAGTCTTGACTTAGTCCTGGCAAACCTCAGGAATAGATTTTCTAAAAATATGATTTTATAGAGAAAAGTCATAATTTAGAGGGAAAAAAATGGAGGACAAACACGTCAGTCACATAAACTTTCCGGATGTGGACTAGAAGTATAATCAGAAAGGATCTTCTCGTGGGTCTGAAGAGATGGCACGGGGATCAAGGGTCTCCTTGGGGGACTGGAAAGATGGTTAAGAGCCCTGGGTGCTTTCCAGAGGACCCAGGTTTGATTACCAGCATCCACATGGGGCCTCACAACTTTTTGTAATCCCCATTTCCAGATGATCCAATGTCCTTTCTGGCCTCTGTGTACACTAGGAGCACACTAGTTTACAGACATACATTGAGGCAAAACACTAATACACATGGAATAAAGTAATTCAAAGGAAACGAGTATGGTTTCCTCAGATTAAAAATTGCCTCCATAATTATTCTGAGGTATTGAAAATAAGCTTTGATGTTCATCCTGAGGAGTTTTCATTGATCTTAATCCTTAATAAAATTTTTGAATTTTAGGATAGATTTTTAGCTCATTAAAACAGATTCTTTTATCTCAGGGCGGCTGACTTCTTCCATCCTGCATTGTTTGTAGTAACTTGGTAGTTTATGTTTGGGTGGGGCTGATTCTGATATGCTCTAAGAACACTTTTCCTGAACTTGTTGTATGTCATATTGTATATGTCATTGTCACAGTGTCCTAATGTATGCTTAATAAATGCATTATTAGGGGGAATTAAACAGTTCGAATATGAAATGTCTTGTTTGTATTGTAGGAGGACTAAGTTATTTTGAGAATGTAGTTATTATCTAGCTTGGAAAGTATAAAAATTTATTAAAATCAATTGCCAAACCATTTGTCACTAGTATGATAATATAATTGTTCACCCTGTGTAGGCTATTCACTCTGTGGCTTGGCATCATGAAGGAAAACAATTTATTTGCAGTCATTCTGATGGTACTTTGACCATATGGAATGTGAGGTCCCCTGCTAAACCTGTACAGACCATCACTCCTCATGGTAAGGATCCCTCCATGTTAAAGACTACCCAAATTATGATAGACTGTTGTATGGTTTGGGGGGGTGGTGATTTTGTCTTAGTTTTAGTGGGTGAAGAATGTTATGATCGTTTCATGGAACTAATACTGTGATATTGCCTGAATATCGTGTCTTCATTTGGCCAAAGGCGAATTATGTTGTTAATTGTAAGAGACTTAACTTTTGTCTTCTTAAAATTGCCACAAGCTGTTGATGTATATGTGACAATGTCTTTGAAACATCAAGGCCTCAACTGCAGGTAATTTTATCCATTTGAGAATGGTGTGTGAGTGTTGAAGGCCATCCAGAGTTTGTGGATCCCTGGGGACTCAGCAAGCACATAGCATCTTCCTGCAGTGTTTGTTACATCAAGAGAATGTAGTCAGGTCAGTTTCTACAGTGCTTACAGTCTCTCGGCAGAAAAGTTCCTACTGGACTTATTGTTGCACAATAAGGCAAGGAACATTCGAGTTACAGTCTTTTTCAGAGTTAGAAGACAAACAACGTAAATACAGTGCACTGTTTTCTTGTGGTACATGTGAAGAAGTAGAAAAGCTGTATTTCCAGCCCCAAGGTTAATACATTCTTAAAAGATGTATTCCGAATACCTAATAAGACATCAGCCTAATGTGGGATTTCAAAGCAGAAAGTCTGTGACCTTTGGGAAGCCAATTAGCATTTCTGAATCTTCTTATTGTCTGTAACTAGAAATGATAATGAAACTTAATCCAGTTTCCTCATGCTGTTCTGAGAATTAAATTTATTTATTCAACAAATATTTATTGACTCTACTATATGATCATAAGCTATATAACTGAGAGTACCTGGACATTATGATATGCTGTGTGCATATGTGATTTTACTGGATAGAGATTTTGGAATTGTGTTTACTGAGTGGGATATATTAATGTTCCCACAAAATACATTTCCTTTTCCTACACACATCTGTTTGTTTGTTGTAGGTGATGACTTTTTTGATACAGTAAGTATAACATAGTTAAAGAAGTTTTGGACTGACTGAATTAAAGTTGAAATTTTTCTTCATGGTATTAAATATCAGATGATTTTTGATTGTCTAAATAAGCTAAAATAGTATTTTTTATTATAGTTCTTATGAATATGGAAAAAAAATCTCCCTAGCAATCGGACAACCTTGAGTCTTTTTCTAACTTTGATATACATGAGAGACTTAGTAAAGGGGCTGGAGAGGTGGTTTAGTAGATAAAGCATTTCTGTGAGGACCAAAGTTCAGATCTCTAAAACTGATATAAAAGGTCAAATTCATAATGACAGCCACCTATAAATGCAGCATTCCCAAGGCAGAGGCAGGGGGTTTCTGGACCTTTATGGCTAGCAGGAATCACCAAGCTCTGAGTTTAATGTGAGACCCTGTGGAGTTAAAATTTAAAAAGTGGAGAGTCATTGAGGAAGATATATGACATCAGCTTCAAGGTTCCATATATATGTATACATATATGAACACATGTTCCTATGCATATGTGTACATGAATACATACATACATGCATGCATGTATACAATGTATCACACACCTTGTGAAGATAATTTCTATTCTCTATCCTCTGGGACTTAGGTTTATTAATTATAAGATGGCAGAAATGAAAGATAAATTATCAACTGTTTATCAATATGTGGAAATTGAGGAGAATTTTATTTCACAAATTTAATTTTAATAGAAAATGTAAAGTCATTTATCTGCAGATAGTGCTCTGCTGTTCCTTTTTGGTTAGCTTTTTTGCTGTGACAGGCAAGCTTTTATTTAGAAGAGAATGTTTGATTGTCCTGCCGTGGCTGCTCTTATCCTGAAACTATTAACCTGCTTAAGTGATTTGCTGGGTCAGGGTCTCCACATAGGTCTGCACTGTAGCCCAGGGCTGGGGTGAGGAACCATTAGATGAGAATGTTGGTGATTGTCAGCTTCACTAGAGTAGTTGATTCCCTAAGGAAATGGAGATGCTAGATATTCACAATCAATAGATGTCCTCAATAGGAAATAATGGTTTCATTTTCTAGTTGTTTTAAGTTTCTAGAACATATTCATCAATTCAATCAACAGTTTTATCTATAGTACATGAAGGGGAGATTTTATTCTATTCAAGGGTCACATAATTAAAATTACATTGAAGTTCACATATCTGAAAGTTAGTATTATATATTAAGAATGAAAGATACAAAGAATTTTATTTATCTACATTTAATTCACCATAAACCTAAAAATAAAACTATACCTGTTATAAAAAATTTCCTCTATTTTTGTTAGGATTTTCTGTCCTGCCCAGTCATTGTTCTGCCCAGTTCCTGCAGTCGTTAAATCCCAAAGAAATCACAAAGAGGTTTACATGACTATAAACTGATTGTCCCATTAGCTCAGGCTTCTTATTAACTCTTATGACTTACATTAGCCCATTATTTTTATCTGTGTTAGCCACATGGCTCAGTCTCTTTTTCAGCGGTGTAGTCACATCTTGCTTCTTCTGTGTCTGGACACGACTACAGAGGGAGCTTCCCTCTTCCCAGAATTCTCCTGTTCTCATTGACCCGCCTCTACTTCCTGACTGGTGTCCTGCCTCTACTTCCTGCATGGCTACTGGCCAATCAGCATGTATTTAAAACATAACTGACAGAATATAGACAGTTGTCCTGCACCACCTCCCCCTCTATTTTTTTTTTAACAAGAACATCCATAGTCCATTTTTGGGGACCAGGCTGTCCTTGAACTCACAGAGATCTGCCTGTCTCTGCCTCCCAAATATGTGTGCTACCACACCTTGAATTCACAGAAGTCTGTCTGCCTCTGCCTCCCAAGCATTGGGATTAAAGGTGTTTACCACCACACCCACTCTAGCTTTTATCTTTCAAAGAACTTTGCAGACCCTTTTCTTTTTTTAAATTAGATTTACAAAAAATACGAATCAAAATTCCCACTCCCTCCCCTCCTCTGATTCCCTCCAAACATACTCCCACCCCATCTTCTCTAATCCTAAGAGAGGGTAAGGCACATTGCTTTTTGGAAGGTCCAAGGCCCTCCCTACTACATCTAGGCTGAGCAAGGTATACATCCAAAGGGAATAGGATCCCAAAAAGCCAGTACATGCAGTAAAAGCCAGTACATGCAGTAGAGACAAATCCCAGTGCCACTATCAGTGGCCCCTCAGTCTACCCCAGCTATACAACTGTCAATAGCATTCAGAGTAACTAGTTTGGTCCTATGCATGTTCTGTTCCAGTCCAGCTGGAGTTGGTGAGCTCCCATTAGCTCAGGTACTGCTTCAGTGAATGAACCCTTCATGGTCTTGACCTCTTTGCTCATATTCTCATTCCTTCGACTCTTCAACTGGATCTTGGGAGCTCATTCCAGTGCTCTGATGTGGGTCTCTGCCTCTGTTTCCACCTGTTGTTGGGCAAAGGTTCTATGGTAATATGTACGATAATCTGATTACAGGGCAAGTACTCACTAGTAAGTGGATACTAGCTATAAACAAAGGACATTGAACCTATAGTTCATGATCCTAGAGAAGCTAAGTAATAAGGTGAACCCAAAGAAGAACATATATAGACCCACCTGGAAATTGGAAGCAGACAAGATCATCTGACAAAATTGGGAGCATGTGGGCAGGGTGTAGAAGGAAAGGGGGAGGGGGAAGTGGAAGGGGGAAGGAGAGGTTTTAGGAGAACTTGAGGGAATGGGATAGTTGAGATGGAAGGAGAGCAATGAAAGACATCTTGGTTGAAGGAGCCATTATGGGGTTAGCAAGAAACCTGGCTCTAGGAAAATTCCCAGGAATCCACAAGGATAACCCCAGCTAAGACCCTAAGCAATAGAGGAGAGGGTGCCCGAACTGTCCTTGCTTGCTCTGTGGTCAGACTGATGATAATCTTAAAAAAGACTGTTTCTTAAATTCAAAGAATCAAAAAGGCAGAAGAATGGACACATGGAGAACTTTAGAAGCTTTCTATATTTCAGCTCCCCATGGCAGGGTTGTTCTAAGTTTCTGGCTGTAGCAATAAGATCTGGCTCCTGGAGCTCAAAGAGAAACTCTTAGGGATTCTTTTGGAGTGGGCAGGACTAGTATCTTCCAGTGCTTGGGGCATACCCAGGGGAATATGGACTTTCAACAATGCATCATAAATCATAATATTCTTGTCTTATAGTCAGAGCCCAGATTCCACCTCATCGCTAGCCTTTAATGCTTGAAAAAAGCTTCAGTTCCTCACTGAATAAGCATGGTAGTCTCCCAGGCTGTTATTTCAAAATAATGTTATTTGAATTGGCAATGTGTTTTTCCAGTTGGCCAACTAATTTTTTAGAAAGTCATATCCTAATTGGAATATAATTTGAGCCACTTTGGTAACTTAAAATTTACTAACAGTAGTGTTAAAGTCAGTAAAATAAATCAGACAAAACTAATTTAATACTATATTTTATCTAACTCTAAATTATGAAAATGATATTTCATTATGTGACAAATATACAAACTGAGATATTTCTCATTCTTTTCAGTATGCAAAACATATTTTGTTAAGTAACCAAACATACAGGATTGGGATAGTTCAGAGTTTTGAAATCTAGTATTTTACATCCACAGCACATCTTAACTTGGACTGACCACACACATATTAGGTACCCAGTAGTCGCATGCAATCTGTGGCAGTCGCACTGGACATTGCTCTTGAAGGAGGATGTATGTGTGGTATAACTGTTTGAGTTCAATTTACTTAGTGAAATTAATAATTATAGGCTAATTTTTGTCAGATTCTTTTTTAAATGAACCTTACTCAGCAGATGTTTATTGAAGACCTCCAGTTTCTTGTGGATCAGTTACTAGAATGTTATCAGCCTTGATAAACTCACAGTCAAGTAGTTAAAGTGATTGATAAACTGATAACTCCAAACGTTTTAACAGCTATTGATAAAAGCATATGTAATACTACATGGCTATGTTTTAACAGCTGTTGATAAAAGCATATGTAATACTACATGGCTATGTTCTTGGACTTAGGATAAATAAGAATTTTTCACAAATTCAGGATATTTAAGCTGGATCTTGAAGAAGAGGGATATTATGAAGTAGAAAAGAGCACCACAAGATTATTTTAGTGAGAATATATAAAGGAACAAAAGCATAAAAAGAAGAGCATTATTGCAAATCAATACTATCTATGTTGACAAGTGGAGGAATTTTGACAAGAATGGGTAGAGTTTTGACAAGTATCAGGAATGAAAACAGAGCCATGTGTGATAAAGAATTTATATCAGAGTATAATAAAAAGTTTGAACCTCATGCCCAAGATGTAGAAAATGACTTTCCAGTGGTACACATAAGATTGACATCTTGAACATGACTTTAATGGTAATACATCAGGACGACCTGACTTGGCTGCCAGTTAGTGATCAGTTGTATTCAGAGTAAATAAGGATAGTTTCAGTATTGGCAGGGGAAAATGGATATGCATGATGAAATTCTGGAATAAAATATCAGTAGGTCTTAGACCAACTCATTGTAGCTAGATGGCCAAAGAAGTTAAAGAAATATAATAATTATCTTTCTGATCAGAAAGAAAGAAAGAAGATGTGGAGTAGGGTTATTTTGATTTATGAAGCTGTATTTTGATTTTCAGTGTTTTGACAAGGCAAACTCAGTTTACAGAGTTCAAAGAACTGGCCTGTGCTTTTACTTAAGTAAACTTACAAATGAATAAGAATAAAAGACTGGATGCTAAAATACAATATTAGCAATTTCAAAAGACAGTTGAGCAAGCAAAGGAGATAAAACGTTCTTGTCCCTAGACAGTTTCTATAGAAGATATACAGACTTGGTCTCAGCAAACCTCAGTCAGTGCACTAGTGTCCTCTAAGTACCGACAGTGTTTGGGGCTGGAAAGTCCAGTTAGTGAGCACCACTCGTGTCAGGCAGCTCACAGTAACTGCGACTCCAGTTCCAGGGGATCCGACATCCATAGACACCTGCCATGCTGCTGTATTTCTGTCCTTGTGCACATGCCCTCTTAACCTTTGTGTCTTCCCAATAAATGCTTAGAAATGCAGTTTCGATACCTAAAAACTAAACCATTTTACTTCTGTTTCTCTTTAATTATTATTACTTTTATTGAGCTCTACATTTTTCTCTGCTACCCTTCCTACCTCTCCCCTCCGCTTCAACTCTCTCCCAAGGTCCCCATGCTCCCAATATACTCAGGAGATCTTGTCTTTTTCTACTTCCCATGTAGAATAGATCTATGTATGTCTCTCTTAGGGTCCTCATTATTCTGTAGGCTGTCGATTTGTCTTGTTGACTTTGTCCTTCTCTTTATAGAAGCTTTTCAGTTTCAGGAGGTCCCATTTATTAATTGTTTCTCTCAGTGTCAGTGCTGCTGACGTTATATTTAGGAAGTGGTCTCCTTTGTCAATGTGTTCAAGTGTTTCCCACTTTCTCTTCTGTGAGGTGGTGATAGATACCGATCTATTTTCATCACTCTTCTACATGTTGTTATCCAGTTATGCTAGCACTGTTTGTTAAATATGCTTTCTTTTTTCCATGTTATATTTCTTGCTTCTTTGTAAAACAAAAAACAGAAGACCCCCCCCCCTCTGTCTCTCTCTCTCTCTTTCTTTCCCCCTCCTCCCCCCTTTTATCTCTTTCTCTCATGCTAAACAATGGCAAAGGAAGGAGCACACATGAAGTCCAGAATGTGGGAGGGACTCGGGCACAAAGCTCAAGTTGTAAGAGGACCTAGAGTGTGCTGGGATGGGAGTTTCTAAGGGTCCTCAAGACTGTCTCCAATTTCTTTTTATTTCCTTGAATTGTCAGGAGAAATGTAATGTCACAGAGAGTACTAATCTTTCTCTTTTAAAAAAGGGAGGGTAGATGTGTTCTTTTTCTGTTTTTGTCATGAACCTCTAAAATTAGATAATGAATAGCATTATTTTTAAGTGAAAAATATTTATTGCAATAAGTTGGTTTATAATCATTTTTCTTTAGAAGAAATGTCAATGAATGTATTAACAATTTTATTTTGCACACCATGGTACTTCGGTGAAAATGTGATAGAGATTTATTATTTTTCAAATTGTGCTATTTTAAAATGTTTCTTCACTAGGCGAGTTGAAACTACTAGAAATTCCTTATCTAGTAGCCACAGCTAACATCTGGGAAGACTACCATGTTCTCTTGCTAGCATTTAATCATATAAACATTAGCTTATTCAATTTGTTTGCCTTTTTGACAGTATTTCACATCATTTCAAGTAATTTGATTTCATGATTATAAAATGTCTTATTTCATTCTAAATATTTCTTTCAAAATTATTTTAAGACATTTATTGATGGGTTTCATTATATTTCATTTTTATCTTATCAGCTATTCATATATGAAGTTAGCAGTTATTTTGTCTAAAAGGGTATTTTAATATATTTGTTTTCCCTTTGTAAATTATCAGTGTAAGAACTTAGAGTAATGTAGAATGTAATGCAGGACAATATATTTTAGGAAAACAGCTAAAGGATGGGAAGAAACCAGAGCCATGCAAGCCTATCCTCAAGGTGGAGTTCAAAACGACTAGATCTGGGTAAGTGTCCTTCTGTGCGCGTTCACTGTTACAGATGATGCATATAGCCCTGGAAGCTGCAGAGTGAATGTTGAAGCCCAACTTTAGACTAGACTACCCTGTCTTAATTTCTATGCTTTCATAATTTAATAAAACACATAATTAGGAAAATTACCTGAGGCTCTTCTGGTTTTAGCAGTTGATTTCTACCTCTTGTAAAGTAAATTATTTCATCCCAGAAATAATTAATCTATTCTGTTGGTACTTGGAAACAGTGATGTTTTTTTGCTAGTGTGAGCAGTGTTGAAAAGGTGATGAAAGGAACTAATTAAGATTTAATCTACCCTACATGTGTTAACTAAAAGTCATATATCAGAAATCAAATTTCATAATATTTGAGTTATAGAAATGAATGCAACTTATACTTTAAAAAGATTATTAATTATATTACAATGCTGATGTTCATATGAAATAGTTATACAAATTAGACAGTTCGCACAATCTAAATGTCTTAATTTTATGTATCAAAAGCTCTACTGAATGTGTACACCTAATATACATAGAAAAATTTTTTAAAGTGTTTCTATGAAAATTCTGTATCTCTTTAATTTCCAAAGGAAGAGGGTTTGTTTATAAATTTTTATTCTAGTTATTATTATTTGTGTTTAATAAAGAGTGGGAATCTACATAATATAGGACAGGGTTCTCAAATTGAATCAGAAAACTGTGCATTGAGGTCCAGAAGTCAGTTTTAATTCAATGTGCAGGAAATTCTGGTGCTGCTGGCCCATTTACATATTCCAGGTTATGAACAAGGTGTGAGAACTGCCCTCTGTCCCTTTCAACCTGGCCTCCTGACTCAGCTTTGCTCTGTCTTCCTGGGAGAAAAGTCCCTGACTTTTTTTGGAAAAGAAGAAAAGATTGCTCTTATTTATTTTTTCATCATTCCTACCTTCCTGTGAGATCTAGTAGGAGTGCATTGCTAGAATTGATGTAGAAACAGATAATAAGTTGAATGAATTCCAAGAGGCAGAACATTGCTTATTTGACCTTGGTCCTCACTGTATAATCTGTGGCACAGTTATCTGATTTCTTTTTGCTGGGATGTTCTTGTTTGTACATCCATGTACCATGGGTGACTGATGAGTTAGTGAGCTGCCCATGTAGACACATGCACCTTTTTCCTAGGAAACCTTCAGTTCATCCGCATTTGTCACATTTGTCCTGTTACGAAAGATTAAACTAGGAAAAAAAAAAGGAATAGCAAAAGCAACAGTAGCAGAAGATAAACAAAGGAAACAGCCCAGACAAAAGTCTGGATTTATATGCATCATACAGTGAGTTCTTTAAATGTTGCAAACCAAGGAGCAAGCCCAGGCCACCATCCTCTGTGCCCGCACCTGCTCCTTCTCATGACAATGCCGCTGCTTCAGTCCCCTTACTCAAGATGGCAGCGCTGCTTTCCTGTCACAGATTTGAAAGGAAAAATTTAAAAACGTAGGCAATTATTTAAATTATCTAATACGAGCAGTAGGATAGCATTTTAACTGTCTCCTTAAATTTCTTTTTTTCCCCCTGGATAGGAAATTGAATAAGGAAGTTTTTATTTTGCTGTGCTCCACAACTTTCGTCTTAGATTCGCTAGTGTAAGAACCCACCCCTGCCCGCCTAGAGCATCATTTGGTGCTGTCATAGCAAGTGTGCAGTTTCATTTCCTGTTGGCAAACTCTGAGGCTTTCGAGAGAGCTGTCATTGCACATGCAGGGGTCCTGGTCACGTTCTTCTCCTCACCTAGAAGTCTTTCTAGGGGTGAGGACCCTTCTCTGTTCCCTCTATCTCAGCATGTTTCTCTTTTTAGAATAATGGCCTCCTTGGCTGGCTTAGGGTCTCCAGAAATATGCTCTTGAGAGATGCAGTTTTCCATTCTAGGACTTACACATGCCATTAGTAACAAAGTTACTTATTGAATGCTTGGATCCTCTTCAAGTATTAAACGTCATTGAAGCATGAGGCATGAAACACAGCTATGTCAGTTTAAAGCCCCACCTATCCTACAGCCCTGTGTTAAGGAGAGAAGCTAGGACCTTATGTATACTAAGTAAGTTCTCTGTTGCTGAGATGCATCCCCAGCCTCTGTCTGTTTGTCCAGATCCTAGCATAGTGTTGCTGAATGTGAAGAGTTAGGATACAAATACCAATAGGTATGGGTGATACAGGTAGGTATATATAAAGTATAGCTATATATGGACTCTTGATATTGCTATGAAATCTAGAAAACATGAATTCTTCTTTTGATGCAATGAAGTTAGTGATAGTACAGATTAAGAAATAATTTATTCAATTAGTAGTTTATTTAAATATGGCACTATTCATTAAGCAGCCGATTCTTATTAAAAGCAAGAGCAAGGGCCTAGAAAGATAGCTGAGCAGTTAAGAGCACCTACAGCTCTTACAGATAGGACTTTGGTTTGGTACCCAGCAGTCATGTGTCTTAAGTGCTGGTTCATAATGTCCAGGGGCTCTGACACCATCTTTTGGCCTGCACACAGACATAGGTACATACGTACAAGTCCCCCCCCCCCTTTTAATCTTTAAAAATTCAGGAGTCAAATGCTAATGAGACCCACTGAAGTTATTTCTTTGAAAAAGAGAGGTGGAGAGTTCTGTGGTGAATACATATCCATCATCAGCACGGAGGTGTGGGGTGTATATAAAAAGACCACTAGGTATGCATCCTGCCTCCGCTGCTCTCATTGCTCAATTGGGGTACCAGCTAGCTTTCTGTGCCTGTTTCATTATGTTTAAAGTGGGACCCTTAATAAGGACCACCTCATATAACTGTCAGCAAAAAATGTTAGAATGTTCTAGCATGCTCTTCACTTAACCCTATCTTATACCTCACTTAATACTGTCTCCAAGTAATATTTAATACTTCCGACAAACATCCAGAATGCAGTTTTTCATATTGTCCAAAGTAGATGAACAAGTGGCAAGCCCGAGTGATTTTTGTCACTCAGGAACTAATATTTGTCCTTAAGTTAATAATCACCTCAGCTGAGAAACACTGAATTGCTGCAGTGATTAAAAAGTATTTTTAAACATCAGATAATGGTGATCCCATTATGGGCTGTGAAAGGAATTGTGTTGGTTGTTTTTAATTGGTAAAGGAGAATAGGAAGTAACAGAGTGTGTGCCTTTAGTGGTTGACGTTAATTCCTGATACTCTGGTTCACATCATACATTTATATACTGAATCACAAAGAAAACTGCCCTTCTTAGAATGGGTCATGGTAAGAAAAAGACAGGAAGCCTCTGAATTAGTATAAGTAATGGAAGCCTTGAACTGACACTTTTTTCAAATCCAGTACTCTGCTCACTAATTTGGAAGCTTTATGCTTGCAGTGTGACTTCTCCTGGAGTCACATCAGACTGCTTGCTGCTTTTGTTAAGTCTTCGTTTTATGAGGGGGAGTCTGTTACTGTATTTTCTGATATATGGATAGAAAGCTATCTTTTAGATTGATTGCTGTTTTTAACATTAGAATATTTCATATACTAGTTATATAATATATGCCCAAGTTTGGGTCTTTCCCCAGGTCTCCCTCTAGCAATTTCAAGAGCTGCATTTTCCATGTTCCTCACATATGCACACTTTAAAACTTACCTCTTTATCTGTTTGTTAGTTTTTTTACTGTTAAAATTGATATCAGACATTAACTCTTAATTTACAAACCACCATTTTTAATCCCTTTGGAAAATTTATTGGTTAAAGCTTTACCAAAATGGACACTTATTAAACTATGGAGGTACATTTAACCAGTACCAAAATGGATCAGATGTTGTTGGAGTTTAGAAAAAGGAACACGTACAGAAAGAATGACTCCCTGTCAGCTTGGAGCCCTTTGAATCCAGTTCCCAAACACTGGTTTTGCACATGAGACACTAACTTCAAGGTACAAAGGAGAAGTCGGATCATTGAAATAATAAAAAAGGAGGAGGAGGAGGAGGGGGAACAGGAAGGGGTCAAGAAATAGCAATAGCAGGCCATTCAAACCTCATCTGTTTAAGGCTCAGCCATTTAAAGCACCGGCACTAACTTTGATGAATTGAGTTCAGTTCCCATGCCCCACATGGTAGAAGGAAAAAGCTAACTCCGACCAGTTGTTCTCTGACTTCCCGTGCATGCCATGGCATATATGCTCAAACACATACATGAGTAGATGTGAGCTCAGAGACGCCATGCTCCCCTCTCCCGGGCAGATGCGATCAAGCTCCGGCCCAGGATGGACGTAGGCTAGAATCTTCCCGGTAAGCTTCCTCGGTGCTACACACTTTATTAGAAATGGGCTAGTCCAGGTGCGAGAGTTAGCCGAGAAGAGGCTAGATATAATGGGCTAAGCAATGTTTAAAAGAATACAGTGTCCGTGTAATTATTTCGGGGCATAAGCTAGCAGGTGGCCGGGGTGCTGGGGACGCAGCCCGGCCGCTCATATTACTACATAGATGGACACACAAAATAGTCAAATAATTTTTTTTGTTTTTTATTTATTTGTTAAATAAATAAATATTAAATAAATATTAATATTAATACAATATTAATACAATACTCTGCCTGCATGTCTACATGCACCCCTGAAGAGGGCACCAGATCTCATTGTAGATGGTTGTGAGCCACCATGTGGTTGCTGGGAACTGAACTCAGGACCTCTGGAAGAAGAGTCAGTCCTCTTAAGCGCTGAGCCATCTCTCCAGCCCCCGATTAATAAAATTTTAATAAAATATTGAAAACCCATGTCATTCCATCAAAAGTGAGCATTTGAATTGAGTAGATACTTCTCAGAAGAAGAAACATAAATAACCAATATTTACTGAAAAAGTGTTCACCATTTCTACTCATCAGAGAAATATAATTCAAACTGTTTTGAGGCTCCATCTTGCCCCAGTCAGAATGGCTATTACTAAGATATTTATAACAACAGATATTGACAGGGATGTGGGAAAGGGTCTCTTGTATGCTTAATG